AAAAGAAACAAGATACAAAAGCCATTGCTAGAAAAGCAGCCCAGCAGGCTGGAAATCACTGTGTTAGGAGCCAGAAGTGTTTGTTTTCGGTCCTCACTCTGCCACCAGCTAGATGTGTGTCCTTAGAATGTGTCCGGTGGGGCACCAGGTTGCCTCAGCGGAACGCAGAGCCTGGCCCCCAGCAGGTGGCAGTCCTGTGTTCACTTGGCCCCGAGAACGCCATCTTGTCTTTGCTCTGCCTCTGGGGCTGCTATTTCTCTCATTTACTGGCCTCTCTTCTTCCTCATTCCTGAAAATTGGTGAACCCCAACCTGAGTCCTCAGGCCTCCTCTCATGTCTGTTACCACTCACTTCTAGGTGGCCTTAAATGCCACCATAGGCTCCCGGCTCCCAAACTTGTGTCTCTAGAACGATCCTTTTCTGCTCTTACGCTCTCGCGCTGCACACCAGCAAATCCCGTCAGCACCTACCTTCAAAGAAATCCAGAATCCAGACCCTTCTTACTCCCCCTGCTACTGCCACCTCACACAAGGCCACCATCATCGCTCACGAGGACACTTACTGCCACCACTTAGCTGGCCTCCCTGCTTCCACTCTGCTGTTCTACGGCCGAGTCTTAACACCACAGCAAGAGTGAGCAATGCCCCACTGTTCTGTTCAAAACCGTCCGACTGCTTCCCATTTCACTCCCAGAAACTTCCCTGCCGCCCCACAGCCCGACAGAGCAAGCGGCTGCCTCCATGCCCTCTTTTCCTATCGTTCTCCCACCTCACCCGTACTGCTCCAGGCTCTCCAGCCTCACCCTGCTCCTCAGACATGCCAGGCAGGGCCCCTGCACAGCCTTTACAGTTACTGTTGCCTTTGCCTGGGATGCTCTCCCCGCTCCCAGATACCTGCAAGCCCTCTCTAGTTCACACATCGCCATAAGAGAGAAGTCTCCTGTGACAACACTGTATAACATGGGAACCCACCCGGTCTCACCACTGCCTTTCCCCCTTCCCCTGCTTCATAATACCCATCACCACCTGATATAGTGCATATGCATTGGGCTGGGTTTTTTATAGCCTGCCGACTTCCCCCATTCGAATGTAAGCTCCTTGAGAGCAAGGACTTTGTTTTATTCAAAACCAAGCACCTAGGATGATGCCTGTTGGTTATAGACACTTATTTATTGAATGAATGAATGAATGAATGAATGACATTGGGACATCATGAAAGTTTATGAGCAACAGAAATAGGTAGGAATAAAGCCTTCATATTCGCTCTACTCATATCTGAGTCATATTCAGTACTGGTTAACGAGTATAGGGCCCTCTCAACTCGCAATGAACATCAATAAAGATAACAAAACCAATAAAAATAACAGTGCTTTCTGATCACGTTCATGCATTCAACAACTATTGTATTGGGTTGTCAGAAAAGTCATGGCACATTTTTGCAACAAAAAACATAGAAAAAAATAATCANGGGAGAGGGGGATGCTATTCTGGTCCCACGTCCTGCAATTACCCCAGAAGCAAAGGGCTGACATGTTTCTGGGACCTTCCTTTGCCCACTGACCCTCGGCCAGCATGCTGGGGAATTTCTGATTTTCTGATCCTTCCTTCCCCTCAGGAATCCATAAGTTCAAAGGCCGCATCCTACACAGTCAAGAGTACAAGGTCCCAGAATGCTTTCGGGACCAGCGTGTCCTGGTGGTAGGCCTTGGGAACACTGGAGGAGATGTGTCTGTGGAACTCAGTCGAACAGCTGCTCAGGTACGCTGCCTCTGACTCCATGCCCCACCCTCCCACCCCCACCCCAACCTCATTTCTGGAGTCTGGAGAGAAGCACTCAAGAGTGCAAAACACACTGGCCAATTGCTCTAGTATGTGGACAGGGTAAGTGAAAAAAAATCCACACTTTACACACCTGAACCATCTCTAAGAAGGATCTAGGAAAAATGCGTGGATGCCAGACCGGTAGGCACTTTTCCAAAGTTCTCCTTCAGGCACAAGACCAAATGGGCAAATTGTTCCCGCCTCTGCTGGCCAACTATCTTTCTTTCGCACGCTCCTTTTGTAATTCTGGCAAAACTCCCATGTAAAAAGTGGGAGGTTGTTTTCTGAATAGCCCCACATTTTCAATTAGAACACAGATTTATACTTTGTTTGAAGAGAAAAGCCACCTTGACTTAGCCCAAGAAGTTTACATAATGATGTTATTGTAGTAAAGATGGTAGAAATACTTAACAGGTATCTAGATCAGGTAAAAGTGATTTGTGAAAACAATGACAGCAGCAGAAACAGACAGCCACTGGTAAACTTATGTACAAAGTCACCAGTCCTCTGTTGTTTTAAGACCAGAATGAGAGGAGACCATTTGCAACACATCAAAGAAAAATACTACAACATGATGAACACGTATTTATCCTTCTTGCCTTACTCTTTAGGTACTTCTCAGTACTAGAACTGGTACCTGGCTTATCGGTCGCTCTTCAGATGGAGGCTACCCATATACTATGATGCATATAAGAAGATGCAATAATTTTATCTCACAAGTTGTGCCTTCATGTGTACTAAACTGGATTCAACAGAGGCAGTGGAATAAGAGGGTTGACCATAAGAATTATGGATTAAGTATTATCAAGGGGTACTTGAAATTTTTTTTTAATTTAATGGGAAAATGACTGAATCAATATTGTTCATCCTGTTTTAGTCAGAACTCAGAATGTTCCATAATTGTGATGCCATCTTTGCTTATTCTGGTTGAAGCTTACTTCCTTAAGACAATTGTCCATCAGGTACCACAGCAGCTCTTGATGTAGGGGTGTTCTCTTTCTCGTAACAAAACTCGCAATTTCTGTGGCTAGAAGAAAACAGGAGGACGAAAACTTTTCATTTCCAGCTTTGAAAGAAGGGGAAATTTAAATTGGCTTTGAAAAATCTTGGAATGGCTGGATCTACCAATAGAATTTGCAGAATCAGTGAGTATAGGCGCCCAGCTCTTTCTAACCTTTAATAAATGTCTAGCCTGGCTGAATAGAGGTATAAACCTCCAATAGGAAATCCCACAATTATATATTTTAATAGGCACCTGTACAGAGTTGCACATTGGCAAGGAAACAAATACCTTTGAAGTGCATGTAAATGTGATTTTTATTAATAGCTTGATCCCTAGACCTTTCTTTAGTAAAATAGCTTTCAACTCATAAAGAAAATTAATGGCAATGGATGATTTAATATTAAATTTTACAAAGAGTATGTCTGCTGTGATTAGGTAGAATGATGTTTATAATGAAACTATTTATCAGTATCAGTAGATTCAGGTTTTAAAAATTTTCATTCCAGAATTTTATTGTTCATTTCTTCTTTGTCTCATGTCAATTCTTTGAGGCCTGGTGATGTGAGACCCAAAAGTGATCAAATGAATTGTTGTGCCCTCACATCCTGATATTCCAAGAAAAGCCCTGCTCCAGAAATTAGTTCCCAGAGACGAGGAATTTTAAAGCCCAGGCAGGAAAGAGTAGTTTTAGTCATTTTCCACATGCCTTCCGCTGGGAGCAGGGAAACCAAACATATTATAGAGACAGTAAGTCAGGTAGACATTGGTCAATTCAACTCCCTTGGCTTGGCAGATAGATTTCCCTGATTTGACCAGATAAATCACTTGCTGAAGTGTCTCATCGATATAACTACATACAGTGGATAATTTTCTCCCCTTTCCCCTACCCCACGTCAAAGGAAAAAAAGGAAAATCGTCATTAATGATGAGCTGCCCACGTGTCTCCTCTGTGGGACCGTCACGCTGAAAACCGGCGTGAAGGAGTTTAGAGAAACCTCTGCTGTCTTTGAAGATGGGACAGAGGAAGAAAACATTGACGTGGTGATCTTCACAACAGGATACACGTTTTCTTTCCCCTTTCTGGAAGAGCCTCTCAAAAGCCTGTGTGCCAAGAAGCTCTTTCTGTACAAGATGGTCTTTCCCTCAAACCTAGAGAAGACGACCCTGGCCATCATCGGCCTTATCAGCCTTCAAGGCTCCATCCTTGCCTGCACAGAGCTCCAGGCACGATGGGTCACAAGAGTATTCAAAGGTACGTCAACTGTTTCTAAAGCCTCAGGTGATCAACCGAGTCTTCAAATTTGTGCCCTGCAGCTTAGCCAAAAATCAAACAGATGGGAGCTAAATAGGTAAATATCAAAAAAGTTTAATGAAAAATTAATTTTACATAGTCATAGGATCGTGGGTGTGCTTACGTCACTGACAGGACAAAGTCGAAAAGAAGTTTTTGACTCTGGATGGGACAAATTTGGACAACAGAATGTCATCATGTTTCTCAGATTCACTGAGATTATTGGAAGCATTTTGGATCCCAGTCTAGTCTATTTACTCCTAAATCTTTCCATTTATTACTAGAAGTAGAATTTTATATTGCTCCCAGAGACAGAATCATGTATGCTGTGAATAAAGTTGAGTTCTGAGGAGACAGGAACCTATAAGAAATGCCTATAAAAAATATTTTAGACTCTGGGCATTCACTGCTGTCAATTATCACTGTAAGAGGACAGGTGACAGAGTCAGGACTACCAGGGCCCGATCCCGACTCTGAAAACCCTCTGAAAATCAGCCCCTTCGTCTGTAAAATGAGGATGATAAAACCTCTTTGACAAGTATTATGTAAAATGGATGATGTCTGCAAAGCAGTTAGCACAGTACTTGACACATAGTACTCGCATGTTAGTACTTGGCACAAATGCTTGTTAAGTGATCGCTGCCAATCTTACCTCTCTAAAGGCAGGCGAGTCTTAAATGAGTAAGCATTTTAAAGAATTGCATCATTTTAACATATAAACATCAATCACAATTGAGCCAACCAGCAGAATTTTGTTCTGATGACTAAACACAATCACCAGTCATTGATAAATGGCATATAACACAGTACTAAGTAGTGCTGACTTTATCACACTGGACAAGTGTGATAGCTCTCAAATTCCGCAGCCTTTCGTTAAATGATCACAAACTTCTATTTCTTTAAAGCCAATTAAAGCGCTCTCAAAGCATTATCTGATTATATTAAAACCACAGAAGACTCTTAAGGGTACCTGGTGTTTGTAATTTACGTATTTTATAAATGAGCTCCAAAATGCTTATCAGAATTACCGAGCTGGCAAAACGAAACTGGGTTAGGTCCCACCACAGGTATAATTCCACACTTTTCCTGAGCCTCCGGGAGAAGGCAATCCGGAAACTACCACGTAGTCTTGCCAGCTTTTTACGGGGGNTGGAGAGCATCATTATATAAGAGGGCAGTGCAATAACTGAAAATAATAGCGGCCATCTTGAATTATCAATATGTTCCACTTTTAAGACAGAAAATATATAAATGCTTCAGAAAAAACAAGCATTCCTTCTAGTAAAAAAGTTTTTTAAGATTTTGATATTTCTGTGCTACACTACCCAGTTATCTGAAAACTTGTCTCTCCAGGGTGTAGCATTTCCCAGCATCGAGTGATATATTTATTGTATGGCGTTATAATTCCCAAAATGGGGGCATGGGCGTTCAGAAGTACTCAGAAGTCCCCTATTTCCCGTATCCCTGACCTCATCCCCAGACCCTGATGTGAGATATAAAAAGGAAAAGACAATAAAACAAGAGCTAAGCCTCGAAAGAAATTCACTGGGACATTAGTAGCTGTTTGATATGTGTTTGTTGAATACAATCAGATGCCTACAGTCATTTATGAAAACAATCTGAAAGACGAGAATTAGTGTATTGATAGATGTTTGCCATCACCATGGCCCAGGATGTCCCAACCACCACAAAGACCGGAAAGGCTTGTTTTCAAAGCAAGTTAATGTGGCACTGATAGAATTAGACTCTGAAAGTGGGACCCTGGAATCCTACCGTTGAACCAACTCCCCCAGTGATGTGATGGTTGTGCCAACTAAAGTAGAGGCAGCCTAGCCTGGTGGTGAAGATGGCGCAGGCTGAGTTCAAGCTGCCGCTTGGACATGTATCGACACGTGGGCAAATCGTGTGTCCTAAGTCCCTTTTTGTCCACTTGTAAAGTGAAGGACTCACAGGGCCATCTTCCTAGGGTTGCTGTAGAATGAAATCAGCTACTGCCATGAGTCCCT